GGTGTATATTTATCTGGTGAATTATTTTTTTTACGTGTAGGCTAAAAATTTTTACTATATTTCATCTTATTTTGAGAAAAAGAAGATAGTAAACCCGGGGAAAAAAATACATCTTGAGAACTTGAGAGATACTGTGAAACAGATAGAGAAATATCGATGTATTTGAAAGATGTATTTTTTCTCCTAGTAGATATACTTTTATGGGCAAGTCTTGTGAAGTCCTTCTATCTGAAACAAATAAATAGATTTAGATGAAAAGACTGGATTGAAACTCAATTAAAATTTTAACCGAGTTATTGTTTCAATTGCAATTTTAGGGATCAAATAAAAACTATGTGTTTAATTTTTGGATATAAATTGTAAATTATCTTAAAAAAATATATTATTTAGACTTAATTGACGACCTAATTAATTACCATTGTTAAATTAAAAGTGAACTTCATCTAACATTATAACTCATAATTAATCTAATAACCATATCATAATTTTAAATAACAGTAACGGTCGTTGTAACAATAATGATAATGATAAAAACGATTAGGGGTGCAACTTGGGTTGGATAACCCGATTTCAACCTGAAAAAATAGGGTTTGGGCAAGGGTTTTTAATACTTGGATTGGGCTTGGGTTAAAAAACCTCAACCCGAATTCAATTTGGGTTGGGCTCGGGTTAAGGCTTCGTGAACCCGAGTTCAACCCGAACCCGACAAATTAAAAAAAAATTATATATATATAAAGCATTAACACTGATTTTTCATTTTTGTTCTATCGTTCTCTATCTCTTTCGTTCTCTATCTCTTTCGTTCTCTTTGCCTCTCTCGTTCTCTCAGCCTCTTTCGTTAAAAACTTGGTTGAAGTTATTGGTTGTTAATTTAGGTGAATATAATATAATATATGTATTAGGTTTAGAACAACAAGTTTATTTTGGACTCTACTCAAATTGAACCTGTAAAGTAACTCGAAATCATCAACCCAAGCCCGCCCAAATTAAACTCGGTCAGTGTTCGAATTGAATTTTCCAACCCGAGGTAGGGTTAGGGTTAAGATTAAGATTGAAGATTATATATCTAAGGTTAAACTATGGTTAATTGCTCAAGCTATCCAACCCTACCCGAGTTGCACCCCTAATAACGATAATGATGAAACGGGGTTTAGCAAAGGCATAAGTTGTTTGTTTTCAATTCACCCCCCCGCCCCCCTAAAAGTAGGCCTTTGTTCATTTCAATTTTTAAAATGATATAACTATCCATTTTTTGAATTCATAATAAAATATATTTTATTTCACTAATGTTATAGGAATATAATTGAGGGACAATGAATTATGATTGATAGCTGATAGTAAAATGCAATTAATGATGAGACCTATTACATTATTAAATGTATTTTACTATTATTTCATTTGTCACAATGTATTGTCTCTAAATTATGTCCCAATAACATTGCTCATTTTATTTTACACTTATTTTTTTCGTCTAAATGACTTTATTTCTTTTTGAGGTGTTGATTTGAAGAAAAAATTATAGTTTTATGATCTAAAAATGTCAAAATTACATTTTTAATCTAACAATGATCACTGATTAAGTCCCTTGATTTAAGTTTTCAAATTTATAATATAAAATAGAGCATGTTTTAATTAGTTCATCTGACGGTCTTAATTAGTTCATCTGACGGTCTTAAACAGACTCATCAAACGGCCACCAATATCTCTCTTAAAATCATTCGTATTGAATTCCTCCTTGTTATAAATTCATAACTTCTCAGTTACGTTGCACCGTGTCTGAAGTTACAAGTTAATCTAGTTAAATATGAAGAGCAGCATGTATAGTACACACACATTCGTATCCCCAACTACTTCTCACAACATGCAATGAACAATGCCAGCAGGCCACACACACGAGACTAAGCTGATAAGAAGGAATCAAAATACATAATATAATAACATAATTATTTAACAAATCAATATTTTGGAATCTGCCTCTCTGTAATCTCCTAGGACAGTACAAGCCTAGTGTTGTAAACCAGATCTCATAGCAGATTGTCTGTTCAGCTCCTCTTCCATTTGTCCTCTAATTAAACTTTCATCTCCAGTACTCTCACTCCCCACAATGCTTTTCATCATTTAAAATTTCATACTATAAAGTCAGACCCCATTGGTTTATGGGTTTGATCTTAAAAAATGTCAAATCCAAGTTAAAGGCTATTAGAGATTGTTCCATGTTTGTAGTGACATTTTATAAATTAGATACGAGTCAATTCATTCCTAATTGATTGTGTTTGACACTTTAACATGCTATATCTTGAAGTTGATTTCAAAACGTTTTGAGTAAGTCTCTTCAGTTTTGTTGATTTAATCTGTGGTTTTCCCTCTTAAGTACGTCTTCTTGTGTTTATTATTTTTGGCTCTTCTATCTACTATTTTTCACATGCAAATGAGTGTTGCACGTACCATCGGTATATAATTTTTTTAAAATCGTTTGAGTCTTTGAATCGAGGGAGTATCTCAATGGTAAGAACTCACTTCTGCCCGCAAGTAGTTGTAGATTTCAACCTCATCCTTTTTTCCCTACGCCTCCCCCACCCACCCACCCCCAAAACCCAAAAAAAAAAAAAAAGAAGTGTTATAATAGTTCATACCATTAACCATTTAGCGTAAAAATTTGAATGCAACTAAGATGGTTTATATTAATAATAGTGATTGGACCACTCAAAGTTGTAAACAAGCATAAAGAAGGAGAATAGAATACACACTTAGGCATTACACCATTTCTTTTTTGCCTCACTTGCACATTACCAGCAGACCAGGAGACATCCCACCCCTCCAACCCATAACAGTTGACCTTTTACAAAATGCATATGTTCATTCAATGTATGTAGTGATATCATAATGTTGTGGTAGTTTAAATATTGGCCAACTTACCCAGAAAGTCTTAGTCCTAAGAATTTAATATCTAACATGTGGCCCCCCAGCCCCCAAAAAAAAAAAATGCTGATAAAATGAGTTTTAAATGGCTATATGGCCGGTCGGTGCCTCCAAATCAAATACTGCAATACATTTTTGCTTTGTTCTTGATGAAGACTCTCTACTCCTAAAGAGGGACAGTAAAATAGTGATATTCAAACATTAAACTAGTGGTGGAACTTACTTAGATGATATGACTTTTGAGTTGCAAAGTTTGAATCTCACAAAAGACAAAAGGAAGTCTGATTGACCTAATGTCGAAAACTCAAAATTACCAAGTTTGAGCATGATAATAGACGTTCTGGTTGAATCACTGTCAAATATCCCGGGATACCAAGTTCAAATCTCAAAAAAAATTTATTCTGGGTGACTCGGTGGGCAAAGTTTATTGCTAATTGTGTATACTTGAGTTCACATAGAAGCCACACAAATAAAAAGCATTGTATGATTGGGACAATTCTCAGAAAATTCAGAAAGAGGCTACCAGTTAGAGCTTTACTGGGCGGCTAATAGAATATAGCATTTACTATCAAAAGACTAACAGTGAGTTTCATGATGGCCTGCCCTTCAAATTCAATACTTTATGTTACTAAAAGATTATATATATCTGCATCAATGGCTACTCTTAAGAATGCACGAATAGCTGCTTTCTCTTCTTCATAAATATTATCATTCAAAGTTTTTGATGTAAGCCATGTTATACCAGCTTCATAAAACTAACATGACCACCAAATAAAATCTTTTTTGACCGAGAATCATCGTAAACAAATACATGTTGTGTTTCTTAAATTATATGAATCAGGTCAATCAGAACGTTGATGGGAAGCGATGATAACCCCCGCGTGCACTCCCTAGACAAGTCATTGATTCATGTTGAAGGTGTTATTCTCCTTTTTTGGTGACTCGTATAATCATAATAGAAAAATACTTATAGTACACTCTTTTGTATACCAAGCCTCCTCCTTTACTCATTTGAATACAATGATGAGAGTAATAAATAAATACTTATGTTACACAACTCTAGACACACACTACAGCCCAAAAAAATGAAAGCCGAATTAACACCATTGGACATTGTTGGTGATACCGGATGACCTATATTCACTAGACCAGGGATAGGGCGCCTAATGGAATGGAGGGTAATGCCTATTATATTATAGGGTTAATAGTTCTTAAAGTTTGTATTTTTTTTTTCAGGTCCTCAATATATCAATTTGATCTTTAAAATATTCAATTCGTGACATTTTGATCCCCACATAGACAAACCGTTAAGTTTTTTAACGAAAGTGGTCACGTATTAATTTTTTTAGACGGTATGACGTGCATAACACGTGATCATTCTATTAAAAATTTAACGGTTCGTCAATATTGAAGCCAAAATGATACAAATTACATATTTTAAGAATAAAATTAATGCATTGAGAACTAAACTGATAAAATTATACCTTTAGTATAATAAAAAAATAGCCGCTCTCATCGATACAAGTAAGAACTCTGTCGAATCATATGTAAATATGTGTTCTTTGTTTGATTGCTTTTCTCTCTCTTCAATTATTTCCTACATCCCACGTTCACAAGAGTCGTCATGCTTGTGCATGCAACAGCGAAGGGAAAAAAATAATCGCTAGAGAATCAAGGGGACGTGGTGTCTACTGCAGTCTGTGCAATGGAGATATCAATGGGACCCTAATGTTTTTCTACGGTGATTAAAAAATAAAGGCAAATTATAATTTAACTCTCCCTCATCTACGACTTTTTCTCACATTCTCCCTCAACTCGTTTCTCATATGGCATTCAACCATGTTATTAGCTATACATGTTGTCCTAATTCCGTTTTAAATTTGACAAATACCTATTTTATTTTGTCCTTAGAGTTATATGTTTTGTTTCACTTTACCCCCGACATATTAATAATTTTCATTCAAAAAATAACACATGTTTGCCTCTACCGCGGGGTGAAATTAATTCAAGTAATTGGGGGGCAATATGAAAAAATCAATAATTCAAAGGACAAAGTCAAAATTGAATCCATAGTAAAAAGGGTGAATTTGCAATTTTTCCTAAAAAAAAAGAGAGAGGGATAAACATAAACAATTAAAACCAAAAACACCTAATTAGAGGTAAAAAAAAGGGTTCCACAATGCATTCTCCGTCATTGCTTGTACATTTTGATATTTTACAAGCTCAAGCTCGAAAGACATAACCTTCTTTGGTAGCTTTGGATTTCTCAACTGAGTAATACCAACAAGGAAAGGGAAAAAAACTTTCTCTGCAAACTTATAAATTGCCCATCTTTCTCTCTTGCTTTGTCCTCTGTAATGCCACTCATTACATGGGAATCGACCCACCAGCAGCCAAAACTTGTTGCTCCAGCTACATTCAAACAAGTGAAATGAGATTGGCTTTTGGATATTGAGACAGAGAATAAACCACCTAGTTTAACTTCAAACAATGAGATTTTGCACACCAGTCATCACCTTGAAAAGAGTTTCCAGTTTGTTCTTCACAAGTGAATACTCACTCTTTAATTGTTGCAGACATTTTAGGCACCTGCGTTATCTCTCTTAGTCAGAATAATTTTCAATAATAATAGTAATTTTTTGGTAGCATTGTAAAAGATGATCTGTAGTCATAGATCTTCAGTTGATTCATTTGTAGCTATTAGTTTTGAAATTAATAGACTAAATTGAAATAAAAATACTTTACACGTGTCATATTTGCATTGGTTGAAAAAATGACGTATAACTTTTGAGTACCATAGTTCGAACTCGAGAAACTCACCCTTCAGTATTCTGTTCATCGCAATAGTGGCGGAAGGCAATGCAAACCTTTTGAACTCTTTGTGCTCCTATGCTGTTATAACACAGTCCAAAAAAGATTAAAAAAAAAGGTTTTAAGCCCGAAAACTCCTATAGTCAAATGCTACTGGAAGATGCAAGAACAAAAACTAGATCTGTTGCACCAAGTTTTTTATTGATTACAATAGTTAAGTAAGAACAATTAGTGTTTGATATGCTTTCCCTAATCAAGATGTTGGGAAAATATATTTTCTGATTTTCATTGACATGCATTCACCATAATGTTGGCATATTAACTCTAAAACCGAAATTTTAAATGTAGTTTTCCTCCAAGATAAACATTTTAGAACTACTCAACCAAAAAAAAGAAAAGTTTAAAATTAACCAAAGTTCCATTCAATCTATACAGTAGCTGATTAATTTACTGCAATCATATTCGTGTGGGATTAAAATAGAGCGATTCTATTGATGAGATATAATTTGAGGATATAATTTATATGAGTACTTAATGCATTGTGTCTATTGAACTAGCTGTGAGTCCTAACAGTGAATGAAGTTTACTACCAATCTAATGATCATTGCCGTGATAAATGTGCTTATTTTCAATTAGGGAAAACTAATAATCACTCGATTAGTCATAGAACATGATAAGATGGACATTTAACAATGGAAGTTATTTTTATATGTGAAATTGAGTTTCATGAAACAAATACATCATAAGGTAAAATAAAATGACAACTCAACGCATTAGGCTTCTACCGCTACTGGATCTGAGAGAAAGGCAGTTGTGTGGAACCTTAGCTATTGATGGAGATGTTGTTTCTGCACTACAATCCTATGGGGGGGGGGGGGGGGGGGGGGAAGACATGCAATTACCTGGAGCTGCTACCCTTCAACTGGTGAACATGGGCATCCAGCCTCTTGAAGTCTGAACTTTGCTGATGTCTGTAAGCAGTGAGCGTGAGGTAAAGAATAAAACAAGGAAAAAAAAAACAAACAATTTGAGGCAATGAGATGTTTCAGAAGTGTTAAATATCTTTAATGTTCAAAATAAGTAAACCCATTCCAAAGAACTCCACAAAGAATTGTTGAATAAGTAGTTGAGGTAAATGCTTACAGAGCTTTGGTTAGTTCATTAAGAAGCCTCTGAGAATCTTCAAAGAAGAGAGACACCACTTCAACCACAAAGTCTGGGTTACTCTCATCTTGCAGTTGCTGAAGCTGGATGAACTGATCATCCAGAAATCCCTTCTCACACACAATAAACTCATCATCAAAAGCCAACCCAATAACCCAAAAAAAAGATCAAAGAAAAATAAAAAATAAGATGTTCCATGCATGAGACTTCGACCATTAAAGTCTAGATAGGGTCAAATATACGTGATCTTAGCATAAAGTTGTTTCCACTGTTCAAAATTTTGACACTCAAGTCACAACAAAACAAGAGGCTTCAAGACTCACCCTCAAAGAAAAATCAAGCATATACGGAGAAAGACCAGCAAATACCATCAGGGTTTTCTTCTACACTGAGGTTTACTGTTTAGTTTCAGGGTACTGACCTCATTGTACAAGGAGGTTCTATACTCAACCAACTGTCTTTGCAACTGAATTACACCTTCCATTGTGGCTCTATCAATCTCAAGTACCTCACCAACCTGCAGATCTTTATGTTTTCACTTCATGGAAAGTGGAGTTTATTCAATTTTTCTTAGAAAAGCTCAAGACAAAAAGATTTATTGAACCAATGGACTTGAAGTGAATGGATGCTGGATAGAGTGTGTATAAATAGTCACTTATTTTCACCTCTGTGGGTGTGTTTCTGTTCTTTTTGCTTCCTTTCTGTCTCAACCTACCATCTATGAGCAGTTATAGCTCATTACATTTAAAAGCTGTCACAAGATCCAAAATTTGATGCCATGTACCATTCACCTTCCCATCTTGCTCTCTTCTTTTTACCATTAATTATCTCTCTCTCTCTCTCTCACACACACACACACACATTTTATTTGCATCTGTGGATTTTCTTTTATTTCCCTCTTCAAGATGCTAACCTGTCCGTAAGGACATGTGCATGACATTACTGTCCATATTAAACCCCCTGTGGGAATGACGTAAAAGTTATAAAAAAAAAACCCTATTCAGCTTTGAGTTCCAAAAACTCTGTCAATACGAAGGTAAAATTATACGTTTTACACTTTTCGGACTCCATAGTGACGGAAGTCCTTTTTATGCTATATTTACGTTTGTATTAAATGTGACGTGATGCTATGAAAGTCGTTTTCCTTATTGACTTGTAGAAACTATGAAAATGGAAGTGTAAACTTCATTTCTTAACTTACAAGATCAAGTTGGTGCACTAAAGATAAGATTTGTTGTTGTTCAAAAAGATCAAAAAAAAAAAAAAAAAAAACCTCTTACCTACTCCTCTCTTTTCCTTTTCCTTATCTTTTCACCTGTGCTCTTACTCTTCTGTAGATTCTTAGTCAATTCAATGATTTAATTTCTTGTTCTTCTTGTTGTCTGAGGTGCTGTTGTGGTGTTGCTTGATTGGTTAGTGGACTGTTTAATTGAATAGGTAGTGCTCCAATAAATGTCGGGACTCACAGTGAAATTAATGGTTATAATTGTCAAATCTAATTTTTAAGTCTATGTAGCATTACTTAAAAAGAGTAATGTTATATAAATTTAAAACTTAGACTTAAAAATTAGATTTGATAATCTTAACCATTAAATAAGTAGTGAGTATCAATAAATGTTGAGACACATAGTAAAATCAATTGTTCTAATTATCAAATATAATTTTTAAATCTATATAGCATTACTCTTTTAGAAAATCAAAAGGGACAATTGACAATAAATACATGTCTCTGCAGCCTTGTTTTTGGCTTTACACTCCCAACTAGGGTGTAAAGTTTAACTTCATGCTGTGATATTTTTTTATTTGTTTTTTTCACATGGGATGAAGAATTTTGTCTAATATTATACACTTTTTGCTTGTCAGGAGTGACACGTGGCACCATGTTGGGGACAATATGTATTTGTCGATGTTTTTGGATTCAACCTGAGAAATGATGTTATATGGATAGATAAAGCTGGAGTGACCCGACTTGGTGATAATTAAGTTCTTCGACAAATCATAATATGTAGTTAGGCCAATAGTTGAAAAAGAATGATATTTACAAGCACTAATATATTGCAATCCAATTTTGTTTGTGATGTCATCATTGTAGAACCCTTTTCATAAAAAATTACCACCTGCAACTAGCACACTTCTATTAACATAGCCGCATCCCATCACCACAACTCACCTCCAACTTCGTTACTACTACACCCCACAAATTCCTCTACAAGTTGTGGAGAAGGCCACAATGAAGGAGAGAGAGAAAGAATTTCAAGTTTTTTATTCAGTGGCTTACGATACATAAATTTAACCTGGTCAGACTTATTTTTTCATGAAGATTTCATTGATCTAGTTAGATTTAAGTTTCACGTTGTGTGTGTGGTCGAATTTGTTTTTGAAGCTTCAAATAGTTATGAATTTTCAAATAGGTTACATAGCAAACAATATTTTCTTCCTCAATTGAGGCTTTAGTTGTGTTATGTAGTGTATTGGAGTGCTTGGAAGTCATGGATGAAGGGTGTGTGCTGAAAAAATCCACTAAGATTTAAAATTTTGAAAACTTTGTTAAATCTTCAAAAGGGGAATTGGATCTAGCTAATTTGGGGTCAAGGAGTTCAAAATTACCTTATATTTGAGCAAAAACAAGTCGTTTGCTGGGTCAAAAATGAATTTTCAGGTTTGGAAAAAAAGAGAAAATTAATGGTAAAATTGGTAATTTAATTTTTTAATTTAAGAAAAAAATTATTTATTTTATAATACGCACTTAATTAGCGCGTGTAATTACCGCGTCATTACAATAAATGAAATCTGTTTAGATTTGCAATTTGTATAAAGGGGATGAAGTGAGATTGAAGCTTAGTTTAGGGAGGTTTTGTTTTTTCTTTTCTATTAAATACTGAATGTTAAATTTTTTAATTTGCAGACTGTTTGGTATCCACAAAAATTGAAGTATTAAATTAAATCAAACTGTTTAACAAATATAAAAAGTTAAAATCTAAAAATTATTATTTTTTAAATTTTACCCATATTTTTAACCATATCACCGCAACTACCTTATTCCTATTACCACCATCATCACAATGATAGTGGTAGTGGCGGCGGCGACGACAGTGGTGATAATGGTGACGGTGGCATAATGGAGGTGGTGGCTGCACAATAGTAGTGATGGTGATGGCCGCGGCGGCGGTGGTGGATTGTAAGTATTGAAAAATTAAGAGTGTAAAATATATTGATAGTACATTTTTCCATTATGAGGAATTTATAAAATTCTTACTAACCAACATTTGTAGCAAGAAGTGATAAATAGGTGACTTGAGAGTTGTTTGATAACACCACTTAAGAATTAAAATTGAATATTTTAAGCATTTAATAAATTAAATCCGTTTGATAACTAAAATTTATACTATTTAATATTTTAAGCACTTTTTAAAAATTGGCTAAAATTTT